TTTATGTAAGATTTCTAAGACTTTTTCTTTGCACAAATAACTACATTAAAGTTAAAAAATAAAACAAACTTTTTAAAAATATTTTATTCATTACATAGTAATAATAAAAACATTACATGTTATATAACTAATACAAAACAAACATTAAAAATATTTATTAACTGTTACCTATAATAATAAAACTGGTTGGGTGAGAGCTCATGCCTAACCCCAGCAATTTGCGAGGCCGGGGGGTGGATCACCTGAGGTCAGAGCTTGAGACTAGCCCTCCAACATGCTGAAACCCTGTCTCTACTAAGAAATACAAAATTAGCCAGGTGTGGTGGCAGGCGCCTGTAATCCCAGCTGCTTGAGAGACTGAGGCAGGAGAACTGCTTACACCGGGAGGCAGAGTTTGCAGTGAGTCAAGATCATGCCATTGCACTCTAGCCTAGGTAACAAGAGCAAAACTCCATATTAAACAATAATAAAATATTAAGTAGTATATAAGTAATCCTTTTTGCTTTGAGACAGAGTCTCGCTCTTTCCCAAGGCTGGAATGAAGCTTGTATCTCGGTCACTGCAATCTCTGCCCCACCTCCCGGTTCAAAGGATTCTCCTGTCTCAGCCTCTGAAGTAGCTTGGATTACAGGCACTGCCACCATGCCTGGCTAATCTTTGTTTTTTTTGTTTGTTTTTTTTTTTTTTTTTTTTTTTTTTGACGGAGTTTTGCTCTTGTTACCCAGGCTGGAGTGCAATGGTGCGTTTCTCGGCTCACCGCAACCTCCGCCTCCTGGGTCAGGCAATTCTCCTGCCTCAGCCTCCTGAGCAGCTGGGATTACAGGCACGGCCACCATGCCCAGGTAATTTTTTGTATTTTTAGTGGAGACGGGGTTTTCACCTTGTCGACCACGATGGTCTCGATATCTTGACCTTGTGATCCATCGCCTCGGCCTCCCAAAGTAATCTTTGTTTTTAGTAGAGATAAGGGTTTGCCATGTTGGCAAAGCTGGTCTTGAACTCTTGACTTCAGGTAATCTACCCACCTCATTTCCCAAGTGTTGGGAATGCAGGCGTAAGTCACTGCACCCGGCCCGATTAACATATTTTTTAAAACACTGATTAGTCAGGCAACAACACTGGGCAGGGGTCTCCTCATTCCCAGTGATAAAAACCCCACGGCATGGCTCCAGGGTTGCAAGGGCTGCAGAGCCAAAAGGCTCTGCTTGAGATTTCATTACTTTATTTGTATTGTGAGGCAAGGTCCTGCTTTGCCACCCAGGCTGGAGTGCAGCTGTGCACTTATAGCTCACTGCAGCCTCAATGTCCTGGCTCAAGCCATCTTCCTGCCTCAGCTCCCAGTGCTGGTACTACAGTTGAGTGCCACCATACCTGGCTAATTTCTTATTTTTTTGTAGAGTGCGGAGTCCTGCTATGTTGCCCAAGCTGGCCTCAAACTCCTGACCTCAAGAGATCTGCCCACCTCAGCCTCCTGAGTAGCTGAGACTACAAGTACACATCACCATGCCTAGCTACATTTATTTTAAAATTTTGAAAATATTTTTGTAGAGAGGAGGTCTTGCTATGTTTCCAGGCTGGTCTTGAACTTCTGCCCTTAAAAGATACTCCCATCTCTGCTTCCCAAACATCTGGGACTACAGACATGAGCCACTGCACTGCACCTGAAGAGATTCTTTAATCTAGCATCCCATATTTGGTAACACTGGAAAGGCAGTAGAGTTTTAAAAATTACTTAATAATTCAGTAAGAAACAAACTCAACCTCGACCCTGCCTTCTCTCACACCCCACAATCCAGTCTGCAGGAAATCCTGTTCACTGTCTTTACCATGTACTGAAGATCCCCACCTAGCAAGTCCTGGACTCCTCCCCTACTTCTCTCCTGACTATCTCTAACCACCACCATGACCCTGGTCAGGACCACTATCATCTTCCACCTGGATGTTACCACAGTTTGACCCCCATGCTTCCAAACAAATCTTCAGTCTTTCTCAACTCAGCAGCCAGAGAATGCTTTTACATCAAGAGACAGATCATGTCGCCTCTCTGCTCAGAACCCTCCCACAGTCCCATCTCATAGTAAAAGCAAAACCCCAGCAATAACCTCCAGGCTTACAGATCTATACTGATCCCACACCAGCAACTCCATGGCCTCCTCCCCTAATTCTCTCCCCATCTCCTGCTCCACTGACCTCCTTCCAGAGCCTCAGACACTTTTTCTGTTGTTTCTGCCCACAATGCTCCCCTTCAGCACCTTGGCCAGCTCCTTCCCTCCAAGTCTTTGCTCAATTTTCACTTAGGAGGCCACCCTGACCTTTCTATTTAACATTGCCATCTGTCCCCACTCCCACTGTGTTCATTTTTTTTTTTTTTTTTAAACAAGATCTCACTCTATCACCAAGGCTGGAGCGGAGTGCTGCAATCACAGCTCACTGCAACCTCGAATTCCTAGGCTCAACTGATCCCCCCTCAAGACTCCCTAGTAGCTGGAACGATAGGTGCATGCCATCATGCTGGCTAATTTGTTTTATTTGAAATGGAGTTTCACTCTTCTTGCCCAAGCTGGAGTGCAATGGTGCAATCCCAGCTCACTGCAAACCCACCTCCCAGGTTCAAGTGATTCTTCAGCCTCAGCCCCCAAGCAGCTGGGATCACAGGTGTGTGCTCTATGCCTGGCTGATTTTTGTATTTTTAGTAGAGATGGGGGTTTGCCATGTTGACCAGGCTGGTCTCAAACTATGACCTCAGGTGATCCTCGGCCTCCCAAAGTGTTAGGATTATAGGAGTGAGCCACCACAACCAGTCAATTTAATTTTTTGTAGAGACAGAGTCTCACTATGTTGCCCAGACTGATCTTGGACCTGGCTCAAGTGATCCTCCTGCCGGGATTCCCAAAGTGTTGGGATTACCAACATCACTCACGATGCTTGGCGTCAGGTTTATTTCCTCTTGCTGCTGCCAGAAAACAACCTACTTAGTCCCTTAAAACACCACAAATCTACCAACTTACACTTCTAGGAATCAGAAGCCCAAATTAGGTCTATTAAGGCTAAAGTTAAGGTGTCAGCAGGGCTGCATTCCATCTGGAGGCTCTAAAATGTTCCCTTGGCTTTTCCAGCTTCTAGAAGCCACTCCCATTTCTTGGATCGTGGCCCTTAACTCCATCTTCAAAGCCAGAATGAAACATCTGCAAATCTCCCTCTCTAACTCTGCTTCCACCAACACATCTCCTGCTTCAATTCTCACTCTTTTAACCTTTTTCTTTTATAAGGATCTTTGTGGCTGCTGGGCATGGTGGATCCCACCCATAACCCCAACACTTTGGGAAGTCAAGGCAGGAGGAACATTTAAGGCCTGGAGTTTGAAACTAGCCTGGACAACATAGTGAGATCCCACCTCTACAAAAGCATAAAAATTAATATTAGCCAGACATGTGGTGTGCACCTGCAGTCCCAGCTACTTGAGAGGCTGAGGTGAAATAACACTTTAGCCCAGGAGTTTGAGATCAGCCTGGGCAACATAACTAAATCTCGTCTCTACAAAATGAGCTCGGCATGGGTGACATGCATGTGTAGTCCCAGCTACTCTGAAGTCTGAGCTGGGAAGATCACTTGAGCTCAGGAGGTCAAAGCTATCGTGAGCTATGATCATATTACTGTGCTCCAGCCTGGATGACACAGGGAGAGTCTGTCTCAAAAAAAAAGAAAATAAATATATATTTGCTCTCTGTCCCTGGTTCCTGGCACAGAGCTTTGAATGCTTATAAAGACCTCAGTGATAGAGGTGATAGGAGCATCTTTACTTTTAATATTTGGTCTTGGTCCCAGCTTTCTAACACAAGAGACTCTAAGAACTTTGGGATCTCCAGCATGCTAAGAATGCATTTGGGGATGTGGTTGAGATGACTGGGTGGCTGCACGCTCCTGGATTTCTTCAGGAGGAGGGCTGATTGCCAGAGAAAGCAACCACATGATTAGAGGCTTAGAACTTTTAGCCTCACCTGCTGAACTCCAGGAGGTGAGAGTGGCTGAAGATTGACTTAATTACCAATGGCCAAAGATTTTATCAATCAGGCTTGCATAATAGAGCCTCTGTAAACACCCTGAACAACAGGGTTTGCAGAGCTTCTGGTTGCTGAATACAGGAGGTGCTGGGAGGGCGGCATGTTGAACAGAGGGCATGGAGCTCTGTGCACCTCCCACTTACCTTCCCCTGGGCATCCATCTTTCTTTCATTTCTTTCTCCCTTTCCTTCCTTTCTTTCTCCTCTTTCTTTTTTTTAAAGACAGGGTCTGGCTCTTTTGTCCAGGCTAGAGTGCAGTGGCACAATTTCAGCTCACCACAACCTAAGTTTCCCCAGTCCCCAGCTCAATGCATCCTCACCTCAGCTTTCCTAGTAGCTGGAACAACAGGTGCACACCGCCACACCTAGTTATTTATTTATTTTTATTTATTTTTTGAGAAAAAATCTTGCTCAGCAGCTTAGGCTAAAGTGCAGTAGCGTGATCTCAGCTTACTGCAACCTCTGCATACTGGGTTCAAGTGATTCTCCTGCCTCAGCCTCCTGAGTAGCTGGGATTACAGGTGCATATCAACATGCCCAGCTAATTTTTGTATTTTTTATAGAGAGAGGGTTTCACCATGTTTCCCAGGCTGAACTCAGACTCCTGCGTTTAAGCGATCCTCCCAAAAAACCTCCCAAAGTGCTGGGATCACAGGCATGAGCCACTGCATCCAGCATGCACATCTCTTTCACTGGCTGTTTCTGAGACATATCCTTTACAGTGAAT